TCTCTTAGTTGCTCATCTACCCACTTCATAAAGGCACAAGAATGTTCTACTAGCAACTGCCAACATGCGGAGATTTGCCCTAATCAACCGGACCGCAGTCTCCACCTCGTCTGGGTTTCCTCGGCACCCTCAACGGCATTATTCAGCCTCATTCGTTGGTCTCATGACGACACTTTTTCTCTACCCACAGACAGCCACGGCTGCCAATGCTTCTTCACTCATCAGCTTACATTGTCAAGGCGAGCGAGTAGTCACGCAAAGCATAAATTATGCCGCATATTTCGATGAAGCAAGCATGCATCTGCCGGTAGAGTCGAAGAGATTTAACATTTTCGAAAGGAGCATTCTTTAAATCTACCTCTGAATAACAACTAATTTGTTATGCTGGTTCGCCGAAACTGACTGATTGAGAGATGGCGCAGATTCTCCCACAATTGCACATCTTTCTCTTGTCCCATTCGGAAACGGTCTGCTCGCCTTGCGAGTCACATCTTTCCCATCACCCACGTCATGGCAGTCGTGACCGCGACAGGCTCTTCGATCCCACCAGGGCAGTTGATGTCTCCGAGGCGACATGGAGCATGCAGTTCAGACTGGACGAGAAGATGTTTGTCGATGTTGTTAGTGGGCATCGTTAGGTCGACGCACAGCTTTTTGCGATACTTCGAGCATCAGTCTTCACATCACACTTGGCCCCGTAGGGCGAATAGAGGGCTCAGGCAACACCCGTTGGTTGTAGCAAGGCCGACAAGCGCTGGCTACAAACACACTCTGTCAGCATTTCAAGTGGAGGTCTACATTTGTCTCCTTTCGGCACTCGTCAACATTGCAGAACACGGACGACATCTTCCGCAAAGGCTTCTCTCCTACCTTTCGCCCGTGAATGATACGCCGCAAACAAGCGGCTCAGCTGCCCAGTCCCTCTCACATTGTCCGACACGTTGCCATCGCGATGATTGGCTTGACGACCCTACACAGCACAACTCGACACCAGCACCACCAGCACCATCAGCCTTCCGTCCTCACGACTAGGGCACCATGATTTTGGCCCCTCGTTGCCACGGCAATTGAACATAGCTAGGCCTCCTTCGGACCTCCAACACTCAGCTGAACCGCTTGTCTCGTCGACTTGGGGCTACTTGCCAAAAGTGCATTATTTCTCAGATTACACACCAAATGGACCTATTGGATCGAGGGCAGGCATATGCAAATCGTCTTCCTCTCCCAAATGAAGCCAATTAACCAGATCTATGCACACAGAACAAACACACAGAACAAGCACAAAGAACAAGCACATAGAACAAGCACACAGAAGAAGCGCACATAAGAATCACACCCTCAGCCAGACTCCACATTAAGCATGACCCACATTTTCCACATCATTTCATGCTCTCTCTCTGGTGTGGTATTTCATCCAAATGAATAGCCTCTTAAATAATGTTCCAGGCCATAATTTGAACGATCACAATCTCCGAAACTCATCATTATTTTCTGATCTGCTTTTCGCCATGAGACAGCTGAATGTAAAGTTATTGCTACGGCCCAACAAAAAATTGTTAAACGTGAAGAACTTGGTCACCCAGGTTGCTTGAGTTGATTTACACACGGACACTTGATTTGTCCCCACAACTTTGTGAGTGGGTGTCACGAAGCCATTGCAATTCCCTTAGCCTCACCTCCAAAAGTCTATCTCATCCAGGCTGGACTACAGCTGTTACGTCGCCTGGGTCTCCTCAGAACCCTAACCGGACACAAAACCCTGTTTTAACATCGTGGCGACACGTATCACTCTGCTAAGGATGATAGTTTCGAAGCCTATTCACACATCCTTATAATGTTTT